GAAAATGTTGAGAAGCCCAAATTGCCCAAACTAGTTTGGGCTTTGAGAAAACAGTTTGGACCAGAAACCTTAGTTTAAGGGATAAGATTTTTTAAAAATATATTATGAAAATTAAATGTTTACAGATAATTCATTTTCGTACTGTCAATATCACTATTATCAACATTATCAACATTGTCATCACTATCATCAACAGTATCATCACTATCATCATTATTGTCATCATCACTATCATCAATATCTTCACCTACATTTGTATAACTTTACTTATCTTTGGAAGTTTCAATTTATTATTAAAATATATATAAACTAATTTAAAAACATGATCATTTGTCAATTTATTTTATTTTTATTATGTATATAAGAAAATGTAGACCAATTCCTTTCTGCTGCAGCTGATGAGGTAGGAATAGAAAGAACTCTTGCCACAACTTTTGTCAATTCAGGTGCCACAGCTCCAAAATTACCTTTCCACCAGATTAATAAATCCACATTATTGGTAGATATCTCCATGAGTTGCCAAACATACCACTATGAGCTTTATATTGTAAAATTAAATTTCTGCATTTTCTGTATGTGACATTGTATGATTTGAAAAAAAATCATGCATTTTTTTCATGCATATGGAACATCTCTATACTTAATACATGCCATTGGACAATACACCGGGATTTACAAGCTTGATTTTTTAGTTGATAATCTAAAAAATGGTTAACTAATAATACTAAAGTTTCCTGATTTTCAACAAATGGGTAATGAATTGTCTTTTGTGTTTCACAATGTTTAATCAAATTATCAAGAGAGCTGTTTTTGCCATTTTTCAAACAAAAAAATGATGTTAATTATGAATGGTAATGTTAATAAATTTATAATTAATTAAACTCAAATTTTATTTTTTTAATACAATATTATGTGTATACATGCAGCCCAAAGTATTTTGACACTGTCATAAAGGGGGGTTACACATGTAGTAAAGGGGTGTTACACTTATGTTTTTAATAGTGAATGCCGTAATTAATTCCTACTTTCTACCATCAAAATTGGAATAATTTTGACCATCAAAATCACCAAACCAATTTGGGCTGCATGTATATATATGTGATTACTATTATTAATATAATAAGCACAAATTTATTATATTTATTTGTTATAAAGATAAAATAAACTTTAGCAATATTTATGCTAATAATGAAGATTGTTCTCCAATACTTTCTTTCTATTTCTCTATAAAGATGAAGTCATGCAACAATGTTACAAGCCCATACTCTCAAAATTCCTCCAGGGATCAAACCAGAAGAGATTGAGGATAGAACAAGAAGCAAGACATCCTTTGTTCAGCAGAAATATCCCAAGCAATGGTACCAGCATAGACAACACCATGATGTTTGTGGTAATCAAAAAATGAAAGACCAAATATACCAAGAACTACAATGACCACAACACTTGAAAAAATGGTGTTAAGGGATGGTAACGCAATCCAGAAGTTGACAATAGTGGCATAGAAGGTCCAAGCGGTATAAATGGTGAATCCATAATGAATAAATAATCGATCTGCTAAATTTCTTGGTGGATAAAGTGATAAGTTGTCATATAAACGGAACAAAACAATGAACATGGCCAATAAAATGAATGCTTCCAACAGTACGAGTTTTTCATTTGGCTAAAAGAAAACTTGGTTAATTTTTATCAAAAATATAATGATAATGATGATAATATACTTACAGCAAGTATCATCCAAATGATGGATAATGTACCAGCAATGACATTATGCCAACTAACACCTTCAACTTGACATCATTAGCAAGTTCAAACCATTGATAAATTATGAATCCAAGAAGTAGAGCTTGGATAAGGAACTAAATCTGAAAGGTGAAAAAGGCTGGTAAAATGTAAACATCATCTCTGTCTTTTTTATCTTGATCAAAGATAACACCAATAATTGCAAAGTAGACAAAAAGATTTGATGATTTGAGAATTAATTCATGCCCTACAAAAAGTTAGCATAGTGGACTTTTGATTTTATCACTAAACGCGACATAAAGTGATGATCATATTTATATTGTGCAACTAACAAAATTAATTGAAAAAGTACTTTAAAATACTCATTAATGTGACATAAAAATTCCACAAACAAATATGTGTGAAACTTTGCATAAACATTCTTTGGGTGCTTTATATACTGAAAATTCTTTCCCATCAAGTCCATCAAGTTCAGTTGCAGAGATGAACAAGAAGTGAAGTTTATAGGTTGACAACAGTAAATCTGCATGGAGCTTTCTGAAATTGTCATGATTTTAGGTACCTTTGTTAGCATTTTTATTATTATAATTTACTTTGTTATTATACAATACTACTGATCTTTTACATTGTCAATATTTTATATGAACTGTTGAGATTAATAAATCACATTTCCTTCCCTTACACTTGTGGTAAGCTTATTAACATTATTTAGTTTTTTTTTTTTTTTTTAATGTTTTTTATCAACCCTCTTTCATAATATTCTTCACACTGTTAGACATTTCTAAAAGATCATAATAATAATATCTATTATGTTATTACTATATTTACAGGTTAAAACACATAATGAAATGGGATATATATTTATAATATGTAAGATATTATTAATATTAATATACATTCATTATCTATTTTTTATTTATTCTGTTCATATTATTGAAGAAAGTCCATCTAATGATCACAATGTTTAAACAATTGTATACAAGCAGGCATTACCCATTAACAATATACTAGGGTTGTGTTGGTCTTTAAAAGATCAGTCCCTTTGAACCACAGTCCTAAATTTTAGGACTGGTCTTTATAAGACCAGCTGATCTTTCTTAATAAGGAAATTTTGAACAATAAAAATTTTCTTCTTTTTGTACACCGGGTTTTATGTTAAAATTGATGAGATTATCTTTTTTTTGGGGAGTTTTTATTTATTATGTCTTATCGAAGGCCAAACTTTTGTTAAAAAATTAATTATTACATTGTTCACTTTTTGAGGCTGTTATTAAGGAACTTTAATTAATAATAAAAAAATAATATAATAATTTAGTATGTATAATAAAAACCAATAGTTTATTTAATATAACTTAATGATGTAACAGTAGTAGGTATTAATAATATTATTATTATTGGTAATTAAAACAGAAATAGTAGTAAAAAGAATAGGAGTTGTAGCAATAACAACAACAAAAACAAAATGAAGGCTTAGTTTCTGTGATGTCCTCAGAGGAATTAAATCACAATTTCGAAGGAGAAGAAGAGTTTCCTTAATGAAAATGAAACCATTTATGTTGAAAACTCAGTTTCTAATATATCTAGTAATTTAACATCGTCATCATCATCATCATCATCCACAACAACATCCACAACAAACATCATCATCACATAAAAATAATATTCAAAAGAGTACAGTTTGGGAGTTTTTCGTGTTACACCAAATAAATTAGTATGTAAGAAATGTAATAGCCAATTTTCAAAAACTAGTAGTGTTACTACTTTACGAAGACATCTGAAACAAATACATTCAGTTGTTGCACCCAAAATACAAAGAACTTTACATCAATACTGTAATGATCCTCATAATTCAATTGATCAGAGAAAACGTGATGATGCTGTGACAAATTGGATAATTTGTGATTTACAATCAATTAATGTAGTAGAGAAAGAAGAATGGCATACAATGATTTCTGCTTTTGATCCTAGATATAGATTTCATGGTAGAACTACCATTCATGATCATATAATGTTGAGATTTCAAGAACAGAAAAATAAAGTTAAAGCTACAATAAAACAAATTAGCAGAAAAGTTTCTTTGACTTCTGACATGTGGACTGCCAACAACAATAAAGCATTCCTCAGTCTCACAATTCATTATGTTGATAATGATTGGAAGTTTAAAAGTTTTTTGCTGGATATAATTCCAATGTTAGCTCAACATACAGCAATAAACATAACTAATGCCATTATTGAAATATTAGAAGAGTATGAACTTTGTGAAAAAGTTCTTGGTTTGACAACAGATAATGTCACCACAATGGTAGCTTGTGGACTTTTTTGTCTGGAGAATTAAAAAATAATTATAATAATGATAAATTTTCACATATAGATGTGCTGCTCATGTTCTAAACCTTGCAGTACAACAAGGACTTCAACTCATTGATGAACCAATAATAAAAGTAAGAAGTTTAATGTCACACCTTCGTTCCTCAACACCTGCAAATAATTCTTTGAAGAATTTGTGTACCATAAAAGAAATCAGATACTTATCTCCTGAAATTGATGTAAGCATTCATTGCCCTATAGAAAATTTATGTACGGAAGTTCCTTACATTTTGTAATATTTATTTGTAAGGAATAATCCTTTAATAATGTACGTAAAATTTTCCGGAAATGTGTATGTGATGTAAGGAAAAATGCATTTTTACGTACATGGGAAAAAACCTATAAATTTTATAAATAATGAGATTGTACTAAAAAACGTACTCAATGTATGAAACAAACGTACTCAATGTAATAAAGAAGCATACTCAATGTACGGAGTAAACATACTCAATGTAAGAAAGAAACATACTCAATGTAAGAATTAATGTACCCAATGTAAGAATTAATGTACTCAATGTAAGAAGTAAATGTACTCAATGCAAGAAAGAAACATACTCAATGTACATAGTAAACATACTTGATGTATGGAGTAAACATACTCAATGTAAGAAAGAAACATACTCAATGTATGGAGTAAACATACTCAATGTAAGAAGTAAATGTATTTAATGCAAGGAGTAAATGTACTTGATGTAAGGAGTAAATGTACTTAATGTATAAAAATTATTTTTTTAATTCAAATGTTTTTATTACAATTTCTTTTTAGTCTGGTATTTTTATTTTCTTTCTTTGCTGGTGATTTTTTGCTTGGAGATTTATCTTTAGGCTTTCTTTTATTGGATCCTAAACAATGCAAGTAATTTAATTAATTAATTAATATTATTATAATTGAAAAATTGTAATCATGATGA